GCGAACGGCTTTGGAGTCGTGATTGGTTGTTGACTGGTCGAGCTACGGTTGAGATGGTGACAACCAAAGCCAACCATTGCCTAATGCAGCAAAAAGTGTGTTGCCGCAGAGGGGCAAAAAGTGGTCCGGCCGCGGGTCTGAAGAGGATGGCGGTTCACGTTGACCTCGCTGCGGGCGGCTGCAGCGGCTTTCCATCAGCTGACAAAGTACAACCTCGCAGCCTGGCAGGGCGGCAGATATGAGGCTCTTAGCCGCTCACTCCAGCAGGGAACGTCTTTGATGAGTGCCAAATGCAAAGTTCATGTTTGATAGCACAAGAAATCACCGCACAAGCTCTGGAGCCGATTACGAAAGTGCTACCTATGAACAAGGGGTACTAGTATTGAAAGATAGAAGCAAAAAGAGAAGCCCAACAAATGAGACACGAATACGGCCAGCATGTCAGCTAAGGTGTTGCAAAAAACAAGCCCAACCCACCAGAAACGACACCTAACAGCCACGCAGATATACCTAGGTACCCAGCCCATGACTGATGAGCTTTTCTTCCCGGAAATCAGTCCCGTCTAACACAATCCACCTCCTCGGACCAACAACCCACGCTCGTCTCATGACAAGCTCATCACCAACGCTTCGCCCTTCTTCAGCTCCGAGACGACTCAGTCACGCTCGTCTAAGTCGTTCTCCGTTGCTACGGTACTGTGCTCGCGGTGCATCCTCGCCTCGATCTCCTTTAGCTGGCTCTCGCGCGCTAGGAGTTCCTGTCTCTTCTCGTTGATCTCGCGCTGCACTTTGACTTCAATCTCGCGCAGCTTCTCTTCCTCGCGGCGTAGCTGCTCTTCCTTCAGGCGTACGGATTGTGAAGCTAGATCTTCAGGGTGCATTGAGGAGTCACTGGAGTGGATGGGTGGTCAGTTTCGCTGCCGGAACAATGGGGATGAAAGGTTGGAGAACTTACGCCGCAGCACCGCCCTCAACACTCTTGCTCAGCTTCTCCGTCCGATAGTTCTCGTACAGGAAGTCGTGGGTGATCTCCTTCAGATCCGCTAGATGCGAATGCAGCAGCGCGGACCTGACCGCCAGAAAATCCGAGTGCCGTGGATTATCCACCTCGACAACTCCCCATGGATACTGTCTCGCCCTGACCCTGCGTCCATTGACCTCAACCACCTCCTCGCTCCCCACAATGGCGAACGGCATTAGTCCGCGGAGCTCGGCGTTCTCCTCCACCGTGTCCTCATCGTCCTCTTCGATGTCGTAGGGGAAGTTGTAGACGGGGATGCGGTAATGCTCAATGTCTTCCATGACCAGCTTCTTGGACTCGGCCAGCTCGGCCGGAGTGAGGGAGTCGGCTTTGCCAATCACGGGGATGACGTTCACGCGGGGAGAGAGGCGTCTCATGAGTTCGATGTCGAGTTCGCGGAGGCTGTATAAATGATGTCAGAGAATGCGTCTAGCGAGCTAGGTTGTGGGAAAGAACGAGACGTACCCATGACCTGTGGGAGTGATGAAGTAGAGGAGGACGTGAACGCGGTTGTCACGGAAGCGGGGATTACGCTTGATTCGTGATTCTTCAGCCAGGATGTCGTCGTATTGTCGCTCGAGGTAGCCGACGATTTCTGAGAAGCTGCAATTTCGTGTCAGCACTTGCCGGTGTTGTACGGCGCTGCTCCACTCCTCACCTGGCTTCATTATCGATCTGATCACCGAAGCCGGGTGTGTCGACAATTGTGAGTGAGATGCGGGTACCCTCCTCGTCCAGCTCCAGCTCTGTCGTAGAACGTTAGTGTGAGCGAGACGAGCCACTGGTTGAGACCGTAGACGCAGCGTACCGACGGTGATGGGTTTTATCCGTACTCCTTCCTCAATGTGGGCATTGTGAGGATCGTCGGCCTCCTTGTGGTGGAGCACCTTCTTTCCGCAGAGCGTGTTGACGAAAGTGGTCCGGCCTAATCGGAACACGAAGTGAGCTGCTGCAATCGCGCTGGTTGGAGGTAGTGGGAGTGTGTACCGGTCCCGGAGGCACCACACACCATCAGGCAGAACTGGATGCCCTTCTTGACATTCTTCTTGCGGCGAATCTTGATCTGGGCAGATGGCATGTCAGCAAGTCGTCTGTTTTGAGTGTCCTGGGTGCGATTGAGCGTCGCGCGCTCTGTGGATAATAAAATATAGAAATGTAGGGGGAATACTTGGTTGAGGCGTACTGCGTTCATGGAGGGCGAGGACATATATCGCAGTACAAAGTTGGCTAGGTTGTGCAATCGGCGAAGCGGGCGCTTCAGGAATAGTGAGGTGAATGAGCGGCGAAGTTGGTACAGAGAGGTGTGTTGCTGGTCTGACGGTGTTGCTGTGCTGGTCGAGTTAATTGAGGCTGCGCGAGTTGCTCCTGCCCAGGCCGATCGGGGATTTGAAAAGGGGTCCTGCGGGCCTGACAGCCTGTGAAGCGGCCCGGGAAATCCCCTAGGCTTAACCTGGACAAGTGCGAGCAGGGATGAGAGCAAGGGGACAGACGGAGCGGAGGATCTGTTCTTCCCAAGAGCTGACCAGGCGCACGTGCTTTTATCCCGAGATAGGTCTAGCTGCGATAAGAGCGATAAGGTGCGGCCGCGTGCAGCTTGACAGCCGCAGCTTCGTGGCTTCCTCGTCAGTTGGCACACCACGCCTCCATCCGGCAAGCCAATGCGCAGATATTATTGCGTGTTATGGATGATCCGACTGTAGAAATTGTGCCCCCGTGGCCCCAGTCTTTTGTGGTTTCTTTGGGTATTACCACCAGTGTATCTGCCCCAGGCGAAGCGGCTCGTTAGGCCGTGATCTTGCTTTAGAGACGCAGGTGATAGCTTTAGTGCCACACTCCGAACAGCTTTAAGCCATATGAAACATTGTAGTCTTGTTTTTTGATCGAAAATCTCTCCAAGCATCTTCTCTAGTACCCTCCTCCTCCCACTTAAACACTCCAGTCACCCTAAGAATCTTCTCAGTCACCATCATCCACCATGAACACCCGCCAAGCTATCAACGAGCGGCGGCGGCCTGTAGCTTTGTCGGCTTCTTTCAATACGGGTGCCTCCCATTTTGCTGTCGCTTTAGAGTCGGGCTACCGTAGTATGTGAAACGAGCCTGCCCAGATAGCATGTTCTTACCCTATATTACAGTCTACGATTCCGCGGATGGGAAGCCCGTCAAGGAGCGGTCAATAGGGAGCGGCGTGGGAAGTGTAGCAATGTTGAACACGACACGCTACCTCGCCCTCGTCGGCGGCGGCCAGCGTCCAAAATCCGCTCCGAATAAGGTCGTCATCTGGGACGACAAGCAACAAACTGCGGCCTTCCTCTTCACATACCCATCTCACGTCCACTCGGTCCGCCTGACAAAGACACACACCGCCATCATCCTCCACAACCGCGTCCATCTCTTCACCTTCGCCGTCCCCCGCGCAAGATCGGGCAATGGGAAACAGCCGCGAACCCCTGCGGCCTCTGTCACCTCGGCGACCGCATCATCGCCTTCCCCGGTCGCACCGCAGGCCAGGTGCAGATCGTCCACCTCGCCACCCGCGCCGTCAGCATCATTCCGGCACACACTTCTCCCCTCCGTGCCCTAGCCCTCTCGCCCGACGGCACCCTACTCGCTACGGCTAGCGACAAAGGCACGATCCTCCGCGTGTTCGCTACCGCCAACTGCGCCAAGATGCACGAGTTCCGCCGCGGCATCGACCCGGCGACTATCTTCTCCGTCGCCATCTCGCCCTCGAGTAGCTTGCTCGCCGTCACGTCCGACAAGTCTACGCTCCACATCTTCGAGCTGCAGCCTCCGGCGCGTCCCGCTGAGGTTGCACCAGCAGGCGGCCGCGCCGTCTCACCTGGCCATCTGGGTGGCTCGCCTAACGAGTGGGAGACTGTGGACGCGGAGCAGCCCGCTGAGTCGCGGCCGCGGTGGGGCGGGCTGGCGAATATACCCATGATGCCGCGTGTGTTTTCAGACACGTACTCTTCTGCGTCGACGAGGTTCGAGATGGGGAATGAGCCTGCGCTGTTGAATCAGGCGGTCTCTTCATCCGCCTATGCGCAGAAACCGCCGAAGGGCATCATTGGGTGGCGGAGCGACAGCGAGCTGATTGTGGTTGGGGCGGGCCAAGACAACCGGTGGGAGAGATTTAGGGTCGGTTTTGGTGACGATGGGCAGAGAGTTGTGTTTAGGGATGGGTGGAGACGGTATTTGCGTTAGCGTTGGAAGTTGGCGGTTCTTGAGCATGGCATAAGGCGTACGGGGGGCGGACTGCTATAATCTAATAACGCGACGGATCTTCGGGCGTTTTTGGACTTGATCTCCAATACACGAGCCTGGGCAGCGATCTGACAGTTCAGAGTACGAGGGACTGGGAATGGACGCTTGTTGTGAACGTCTTGTAAATATGGAAGACTAGAGACATGTACCAATGCACTGCAAGGAGTGGAAATAAGCGCCGTCATGCATTCCGCGAATTCCACAACGGATGAGACCGATATCTCGCCTTAGGTATCCGACTGCTGAGTTCTTGGTAACGGTCAGTTACGGGAAGATATTGCTCTATCTGTACCAGGTGTCACATTGAACGTAGATACTGAGTGTTCCAGACAGCCGGCGGTTCCCGAGATTTAGGTGTGGTGGGCGAAGACAGATGGTTGAACACGGCGGTTTAGTTAATGATAGTTTTAGTGGCTAAGTGGATGGAAAAGGGCCTTCGTAGTCCTTAAGAGGCGTGGCCGTCTCTTCAAACAGCTGATGCATCTTGAGTGTTAATGGAACAGCCTATCTTCGGTTGTCTTTGAACGGTTTCGACTAGCAGATGGAGATCCATGTCTCGAGCCGAGTGCGATGAAGCGACTGTCTAAGTACTTGATTGAAAGAATACTCCATGCGGGCGTGCACGCGTGCAAGTTCGACAACGATATTCAATCTGCGGCGCGGCGGCGTTGTTGCTGATACATATATTGTGTGGCCGAGAATTAGCGGGGTAAAGTCCTGTGACGCAGTGGCTAGCGTGTCGTTCTTATATTCTTCCCCAAGCGGGATCAATATGGCCTCTGGGTTATGCGAAAGTCGAGGGTTCGACCCCCTCCAGGACTAGGACTCACTTTTTGCATTTATCTTGGAGTGTTACAGGCAGTGTAGCGTGCTCTGCTGACTTTTAGGCTGGTTCCAAGGTTGATTCGGCAGTGTGGTGCTGGGATGCGAAATGCGGCGGCGGAACCTCGATGTAGGTGTGACATCACGAGAATTGGAAGTAGAGCTGTACCGAGTGCACGAATCAACTTTTTCGGTCGGATGATAGCTCCTAGTAAAACATACTGCATTGCTTCTACGAAATCATGGCGCTCAGACTCTGCGGAGTGAATGCACAGCGCTATTAAGAGACAGCCAGCATTGCTTGGTCAACCTCAATCTACTCCCCGGACGGAAGCATTCAGGCTTCCCATTAGCTCATTGGCGCTTCACCAGAGATGTGTGCCATTCGTTCATCGAAGACGTTGATCTAAGATGTTCTATTCTCTAGATGCTCATCATGCCCGGAAGTCTTCCCGTCCAGTCATTATAGTCATTGCCCACGTCACTAGCATCTTCACAAGACCCCTGGCAACCACCAGCCCGTTGCACCTCCGTCTATCCGCACCCTTCCCCTCATCACTCTCTACTTCCCATAAACAAACATCCTCTCCTCGACAGGCTGGAACTCCTTCTTGCCCGGCTCGCCGGCGCGGCCTCCAAACACCAGCTGCGCCTTCAAGCTCCACTCCTGTGGCACATTCCAGTTGTTCTGCACCTTCTGGTCGATGACCGGGTTGTAGTGCTGCAGATTCGCGCCCATGCCCTCAGCCTCCAGCGCCGTCCACAGCGTGTACTGGTGCATCGCCGACGTGTGCTCGGACCATTGCGGGAAGTGCTGCGCGTAGAGCGGGAAGGCGGTTTGGAGGGCGTTGACGGGTTTGGGGTCTTCGAAGAAGAGGATCTAAGAGCGACCGAGTAGTTAGTGGGGATATGGATGAGAGGATAGGAGGGCGGGGTGGTATACGGTTCCGTAACCGGCTTTGAAGCCGTCGAGTTTCTGCTCCGTCTTGGGGAACTGCTCTTCTGGCACCTGCGGCTTCAAGACTTCCTTGACCATCTCCCAGAATGTCTCATGCTCTTTCTTCAGGAGCACGACGAGGCGCGCGGACTGCGAGTTGAAGGAGCTGGGGACGTGGAGAACAGCCTCCTTGACGAGCTCTTCGATACGATCGTCGGAAATGGTGGCCTTGTTGTTGATTTGGTAGTAGGTACGGCGCTCCTTGACCGCCTCCATGAATGGTTTGGTGGATGCCATTGTTGCTGAGGAAGTGAAGCTGCGGGTGCGAGTATGTGTTGTGGAAAGGGTCTGCTGGTGAGTGGAATGGATTGATGGTATGGCTCTGGTAAAGGGCGCCCGGTGGGATATATGCGACCACAGTGGGGCCTGCTTGAGGATTGGTGACGTATTTCTAAGAAGAATGCTAGACATAGTAGGAAATTTTGGGTATTGCGTGTGTACTAATAAAACTAATGCTACGGCAATTGCTAGCACAGAAAACTGCGGCTCGGATGGCTGGCGTCATCCGCGTGTAATAGATAAGGTAACGGAAGGGTTCCGCAGCCGCTTGGAGTATTAGGGAGCATGCTGCCAGATGCCGTAAACCCAGGAGTACGGCAGTAGCTTTCGTTGTGCTTCGCTGCTGTCTCGGCTCCGTTGCTTATTTCGTTGGCTTCATAATCTCGAGAGTTTAGGGCTGCAAAGGTCAATGTTTCGCGAAGCTTTCTGGCGTCCGGGTGTCCGCCATCACGGAAGCGGGAAGTCCTGCCATCCGGTTGGTTGATTGCAAATCTACGATGATCTGATCTTTATTAATCACAACGGAAGCAGCGCCTCTGTTCCATGGTGGACAAACGTCCAGGATTGAGATAGCCACATGGTAGAGTTAGTTGCAGATGTTGTAGTTGCAGGCGGTTAAGTGACTGCATCGCTGGTGTTGTCTCACGTGCACGAGCAGGATTGCCAGGAACGATGATTCGAAATCTATTCTGTTGTGGCTACCTATGGTACCGCTACCAGGATATGCCCCAGACACTTGCGAGCTCGCCCGCTTCGAGGCTTTAAGAAGAAACCCTTACTCAGAGACAATACAACAGCATACACGAACACAGCGGAACCACTATCTCGAATCGAGATAGAGGCTGAGCGCGGACAATCCAGTTGATTCTCCAAAACACTTCTCCCATAGCATTTCCCCATATGATACTCCCTGGAGGCAGAGTAAAGCACGACTGAACCACATGGACCACCTTTTCACAGAAAGGCCGGCGATTCGCGTGCCTCCTTCGCCATGACACCATTTCGGCGATGGCTGAGGAAGACATCGGCCATCCTGTGCCCACCACTAGGCGTGACCTCACTCAACCGGCTACCCGGGCGCTGGCAATCCGCACCAGAGTCAGTATGGGCAAAGCTTGAAGTTCTTGGACTGTTTTCCTTGTTGGCTCCCGGCGTCGGTGACTTCGGCGAGTACGGCCCCTTCAGCATCATCTTCAGCGTATCGCCTTCCATGACGGGTCCTGCAATCAGCTTGCGCTTTGACTGGGGCGGCGTCAAATGCATGGGTGTGTGGCCGCGCATGTCGAGAGCGGACTTCGCGCGAAAGACGGTGCGGTCTTGCCTTTTGGGGAGAAGATTCGGCGTTGGTGATCGGACTGTTTCTAGCCTATTTCCTTCGCCTGTGGTGGTGTATTGGGAGAAACTGGTCTGGCTGCGCGGTGAGGGGGATCGGTCCATTGCTTGCATCGAGCGGGCTTTGAGGAGCTCACGGCGGGGTGGAACTTGGAGCATGTTGGAGACGTTCTCTTTGGCGGTAGGCTTGGTTGGCTGTGCTTCGGCTTCGAGGGATCGCTGGCGTGGGGCCTTCGTATTCTCCTTGGTGTTTTCTTTGCTGCCTTTCCGGGCGGTAGGGATCATCGGGAAACGGTCATTCATCCGACTGGACGACCGCCCTTCCAGTTTCGGACGGAGGAAACTGGCTGGCAGACAAGCCTTTGATGGTTCAGCAGTGGCGACGGATGCCACGTCAGCATCTTTCGGAGGTGTAGCTTCGCGCTTTGCTTTTGGCTTGGTTGGTAACATTGGGAAGCGGTCGTTCATCACACTCGATGGTCGTTCCCCCAAGGGCGGCCGTTGGGCATCCTTGGATGAAGGAGGTGTAGACTTCGTCCCCTTGGTTGCAACGCATTCGTCTTGTCGAGAGCTTGAACGACCACTCATGTCGTTGAAATCATTGATGGTAATGTCTTCCTGAGTCTCGATTTCAAGCTCAGAAACCTCTTTCGAGAGCCAGGCCTTCCATTCTTTGCTCGACTTTCCTGACTGTACTCTCGTGGGTGCTCGACTAGAACCCAAAGCGTAGCTCTTGACTGGATGACTCGTAATGATAACTGCTGTCCCTGTACCGTCATTCTCGCCGCAGACTAGGGAAATTGCGCTGTCGTTACTGCAGGGCGATTGGCCGTCAGTGTTCCGAGAGTAGACACTGGGCGAGACAATGTTGTAAACGTTGGACTCAAGCTGGCGCTTAACACCAGCGCGTTCTCTGACCGGTCCAACCAATCCGTGGAAATTCGGCGTCGACGGTAGTGCCTCTTCACTAGCTGGCGATCTACGGCGAATATGTGCGAAAGTATCTTCGCTGGGCATTGTATGCGTCGCCATTCGAGGCTGAAAGATAGGAGAATCGCCTTCGACGAGTGGGTCTTTCCATATGTTTTCGGCTTTGCCAAAGTGATTGGATGGCTGCCGCGAACTTGGAGGCGTTGCTTTCGCTGCTCTGGTAAGAGTTCTGTTTCGTCCTCCCTTCGTGCCTGCTCGACTCCTGCTACTGCCGGTAGCCTCACTATGAACTGCGGGCGGCCCGTCATGGTCTTGACCTGCGGACGGGTAGCCGATCGAGTTCGCCGCTACACCAGCTGTCTCCGTCTTCTTCGAAGGCCGACCGTCCTGAGTGACAGTCCGAATGGTGGCTTTTGTCAAGCGACTAATCCCGGAGGATATTGAGCTTTTCCGACTCTGGGAAGGAAGAATATCATAGGCCGCAGGGGCTTTGTGAGATGCCGCAGCCTCTGGTACTGGCAGGTTGTTCGCCGTGTTAAGGCCTGCTTCGTCGATCCTCTTCATCAAAGCAGAATAGACCCGTTGACTATCCACAGGTACGCGCTCTTCCTCGCTTGACCCTCGTCGCCTACGCATTGGCTTCTTAAAAACGTCGCAATCCTTGATCTCCGGTTGTCCTCCTAGGAATTTCATTGGAGAGGGTGCAGCATTTTCAGGGATGGCTGTAAGCCGCTTGGGAGGCTCTCGTGCGATAATGGTGCCGCCGGCGGATGAGTTGGACCAGCTGGTGACTCGGGACTTGCCATCGCTTGCGCGGCCTTCACTTGCTGCAGAACCAGCCGAGCATGACCTCTGGCGAGTCTCAGTAAGCTTAGGCTGTAAAGAGAAATCGTGAGGCTCGGTTGGCTGAGCGACATCTTCAGCTGGCGCCTGCGGCGGTACATCATTGATCGTGGAGGCCACCGTAGGTTCACGGATGAAAGAGTCCCCAAAGTGATCGCGTGTGGCATCAAGGTGCTGGACAGGAAGTGCTGGCATAGAATTCGATGACCTTCGGAAAATCCGCTTGATCTTCTTCTTGAACGAGTTAGAAGATGAGCGGGCTCTTATCTCTGGGCGCGGTTCGCTCATGGCAGCACTGATACCCTGCTCCACCCAATCTTCGACGCTTTCGTACGTCACCTTGCTTGGTGCGGTCTCGGTAGACCTTCGAACTGCTTTATCCTGGCGCTTCTTAAAAGTAGCCATGATGAATGAGGGTTTGGAGCGTAGTCTTTGTTGGTTCACGTTCTGCAAGTGTTTGTCGCGAGCGGCTGCAAGCAAGGCTCTGTCTGGTTGTGGTGGCACCGGGATGGAAGCTTCTGTATCGAATGAGATCCGAACGGGACCAACGGCCTCGATACGTGGGTCTAATGTGGTATCCTCGAGGCCTACGTTTGCCGAATGTGGCGTGGCATGATGT